GTGCACTTGTTTATGATTTTCAAGAGGAGGTGAGATGTCAGGTCCATGAGTTGGGAGGTGAGGCTTTTGTTTGTCTTGTTAAAAAAAATGAATCTGTTAAAATGAATTATTGCCATGATTGCTTTGAATTTCCTGATTTGTTTGAATTTATTTTTTATGAGACTCTTTCATTTTGTAACAATTTAAAAATATGTATTGTAAAACTGAGGTTTCACATGAGTTATGACCACGGGTCAAAAGAACAGGGAGAGATAATTCTAATTATAATAAACATGTTGAAGCATAAAGTTGTGAAATCCACGGACAAAAGATATGTCCCGCCATCTGTAGCTGTGTTATTTAAGAGCAAATAAAGGCTGCTCAAATTGAGGTGAGGCATCTCTCACCTGTAATAATGTTAGATAGTTTTGTGTTTCTATAGTGATGACCATTGGTTTTATTTAAAAATACACCTTTTTGATGATATGATTTGGATTAACTTAGTTATAGTTGCAAATTCAGTAAGGATATTGATGTATTTGCCCGGATTTTTGAGATACAAATATAATTATTTTTATTGGTATGAAAAATGAAAATTAATGTTGACATTCAATTTTAATGGTCTGATTTTTATTGTGGTACATGAATTTTTAACTCTTGAATTGCATTTAAAATTATGTACGAAGGATTGTTTATTTTATTGCAGTATATCATAAATCTGTTTGATTTTCAGTGATACCTAAATAATGTTTTTTGATAAGGACCATTCATATGGCTGAAGGGTTCTTCTTGATGTAATTGATGTAAATTTTGTATGTCTGGTGACGATTTCACTCCCTGAGTAAAATCTGAAATGAAAGAGGGGGGATATGTCGAGTATGAGCGTTCATTAGGAATTGTTGCGACTCAATATTATGTTCATTAGTTGTTGAACGCTTTTCCCGCGCTTGACTATTATAGTTAGTGAACGCTCTTCCCGCCATTGTATTTATGACGTATTTTTATGCTGAGTCGTGACGTATTGTCTATGCAGTGTTGTGACGTATGTTTTAGTCGTGCGGCAGTCTTGAGTGGAACCTTGGAGTGATAGGATGTTTATTATATTTACTTAGATATTAAAGTTATAGTTATTATGAAAAGGAGTTGAGTTTGTTAATTGATAGTGAGAATAGTACGACGCTTCAACGTATGAAAGAACTGACGAATGTAATCAATCCAAGAAGACGATAGGAGTTGACAAGCGGCTCATTACCATGAGCCGGTGGGAGCGGCTCAGTGTTTATTTCGTTATGGCCACGAGCAGCTGGTATCTCCAATGTTTATATCGTAGTAAATCGAGTCAAATATTTATATTATTCTGTTCCCGTTTTCCTTCGAGATTTTAATTTACAGACAGGATGTTTATATTCGAACTGCATGCTATCGGCAGTATGTTTTAAAAAAAGAGCTGTTAATTAATTTTGATTTTATTTCCTAGCTAGTTACAAAATTTGACTAATTGTTTACCGTGGCAACAAGTGCTAGGGTTAATAAAGGCATATATGTGATTAGAAGTGTAAATATTATTCAATTTTGTGTGTTCTTTGGTGTATTTTTCATTATTATTGGATATACTATTTGGAAATCACCAAATAAACGGCTTTACTTTAAATACTTTGGAAATTTAAAATTTATATGGAAGTTGGCACATTTATTTTTTTTTTGTTGTAAATACTAATTTAATAATTAATAATTTCCCAACAAAACTTAACTTTACAAATGTTTTAAGTTCACCTTATAGACAATTCAATTACCTGCAAAATGGTTTATTAATCATTAGAATATGTTTATATTTAAGAAAACTGCAACTGAATTTGTACATACACCCAAAAGGAGAAAATGTGACCTAGATTTAATTCGACCAAAGCGGGTATTTCAATATGGTAGCTGACCGGTTATATTTAATTGATTAATTTGTCTTTTCTTTTGAAACCGAAACATAATTATCTTGTTTCACTATTTCCTTATACGTAAGCAGAATGATGAACATTAAATAATCTGAACTTGAAACATATCTTGATATTTGGTAAAGTATTTATAGATTTGGTCTTTTTGATGTGTATACAAGATTTTTAATGTATGAAAATATCTTTTAGCTTGAAGATTTGATAACTGGGTAAATACATTGCACTGGGGCTATACTTTTATTTATAGGATCTGCCTGTTAGGCATATGCCCATATCAGATTTGTCTCACTAGAAGAGCAAATTTATTGCACCTACTCCCATGCAAAATAGTGGTCAATTTTAAAATATTTACTGTATGTCTATATAGTGGCTGCCTGATAGATTCAAATTCCTGGCAATCTTATCTGCTCCCACCAGACTAATAGATTAAAATCCCCACCGGTGTAGTTGCAAAGTTGACTTTGAAGGTACTAGGCCATCTTAAATCAAAATATGCTACACTACATAACAAAATTCCAACTATGAAAAGTTGCACAATAAAAGATTGCTAAATGGCACTTTAATTTTGAATTCACCAAGTTGCAGAATAAGTTTAAAAATTATGACCTAATAACAACATTTTTTCATTCCATTCCTATTATTATTTTAAAAAAATTTTCTTCAGAAATGTCACTGAGAAGGTTTAGGGCTGAGCATTACAAGCAGCTTGCGCTGGCCCTGATCCCACTCTCTGCAATGATGTTTGGTGCTTACCAACAGTTCTTGTATGACCAGAGTTACGCCATGTACCGCAACAAGAGCAAAATGTTTGGCGGGAAAACTGTGGAACCGGGCAAAGAGATTTGGTACTGAAAAATGTTTTATTTTGATTACTATAGTGTACATATTTGTTATATTCTCGTAAAATCACAAAATTTTTCATAATATAATGAAGCAGGCGTTATAATAAAAATGTGCGCTCCCAAGAAATAATAATAAAGATTTTTCTAAAATTTGAGACCCTGTCAAATGATCTGTTTGAAATTAGTATTCCATGAGTTTTTGTGTGAATTTGAATAAAGTTAAAATAAGATTCGTACCCTGTGTTCTTTTTGAATGTTTGAATCACATCAAGTTTGAAGAAATAATCATCTTTTATATATATTTTGCTTCTGGTGTGACTGCTTCTATTTGCGAATAGTGCACAAAATGTAATGCCTGATAACTAGGCTAAATGATATTTTTTTAAACAACACAGTTGCGTTTTGGTGTGTAATATTTTCTTTTCAGAAAAGGAAATCGTCTAAATTTAAATATGTTGTAATAAATATTTGGTTTAAAATTGGTTGGGACATGAAAATATGAATATAGTTCATGGGCGTGAAATAAAGTGTGCATGACGTATCATGGGGGTGTAGCAAAAATTGGGATTCTTAAATGTGGGTTACTTGAGTTCATGTTTTGTCAAGTAACTTTTAGGGAAGTTCACGCATTGTTGTCGCCAATGTTTGGTGAGCTATAACTAATTCTAATTGTTTTCTAATGAGCACAAGGAACTGACCTACAGCATCCAATATTTGGTGGATGGGAATAATTTCCAAATTATAATTATATTTTTTAAAGTTTAATAAAAGCAACTCGATGTTTCCTATATACATTTTAATACTGTATAAATGAATAGAAAAAACTGCTTTATTTTAAATATATCATAATGCTGAATGTACATTTTGCTGTAAAAGATATCAACAATAATGTGCATCTAAAAGTAAGCCAAAAGTACACATGACTTAAGACTATCAAACATTGCAAACAGAATTGTTTACACAAGATCACAGCCACTCCAAATGTTTGTCTTGTCAATAGTTCCTAGGAAGACAGTGCTAATTTAGTAATTATTTACAGAAACGTAAAAACTTACAACATGTATCATTTATACAAAATGCATTTATTCTCTGCATTTAATGCCTAAGTTGAAATTGCCCATATCCGGCATTACTAGATACTTGACTACTAATTATTCATCCATAATTTTTTGATATGAGAAAGTTTCCTCACTTGGAAAAAGTTGTTTGTTACAGGAGGGACTTTTGTATTAGTATGTTCTTAATGTTAAAGAGCTATTTTAATTTCCTTTGAAGATCATTGTCATGTCAAAGAACTTGATATACAGTATAAAACTGCTAATTAGTTTAACAACATAATTAATAAAATTACTGTAACCAATATGAATCTACTGGTGGTCTAATAATCAATAAAAATAAACATAACAATCTGCTAGTTAACATGATCAGTACACTTACCCATAACAATATATGAATAATTCATTTTAGCATGTGTCTTACCTAACTTAACTTATATACCGTATTCTAATGACACGAAAAAATGCTATAAAAAATATTTATGCTACCTGTATTCAAAATTCTGGATTTTAAATAATCACGAGTCAAATTTTTTTGGGTGACTCAGCAATGTAAAATGTATGGTGGCCGGGACAAAAACTGACATATTTATATATTGAGTCAAATCAAGAATCTTCAGGATAATATTGATAACATTCATGATTCAGTACTGGTATGTTATAGACCAGCATTTCCCAATATTTGTTTTCTGTCTCCTGGTATTTTTTAATCCTTTATATTAACTTCGCTTTTGTCTGTGGATGGACAATTCTTCGGACATCAAATTGGCCCACTTATCTTCAAGTTTCAAATTTTCAGCCCCAACCCCCAAAAATCCATTTTTCAGTAGAAGATAAAAGGAAATTTCAGATAACTGCGCTAAATGGTATTCTTTAAAAAAAAATTGCAAGTGCGTTTGTTGCATAATATTTTCTTTTGTTTTTCTGAAATAGTCTGTGAAATTAATCTGCGATGTAAAAGTGGGTGGGTCATTAGAATATTAATATAGTGAAAAAAATGGGTGAGTGGAGCGTGGGTGAGGGGAGCGTGGGTGAGTGGAGAATGGGTGAGTGGAGCGTGGGTGAGTGGAGAATGGGTGAGTGGAGAATGGGAAAATAGGGGGGGGGGGGGGGCACTAATTACTAATTGGGTTTCTTATAAAGTGCGTTACTTGTACGCGTATGCATGTTAGGTTTTTTCAGCCCCCCACCACCCCACCATTGCTCGATCTTAAATTTTATACAAAATAAGAAAACTATGTTTTAAGGGGTTGTTTAATTATATTTCTCATTCATGACCCACTAAAAATTGTATAGCTTATCCTGGGTAATACTAATAGGTAACATTAAACACATTTGAACGTCCACACAATTTTTACATATTTCTTTAAAAAGCATTAAGTCGTACAAAAATCAAACAGAAAACTGGTGAATAATTTATTATTGAAGTTTGATTCTGATTTTCGTTAACTAGACACTTCAGGTTTGGAGTAAAGTAAAAGATAATTTCTCCTTCACCCATCTGCCTAATTTTTGGGCCTTTTGCTTTCACATTCTCAAATGTGCCTGGATATACATTTTACATTAATAAAACAACTCCTCCTCGAAGCTCCCTAGCTATCCTGTGTCTGTGCCCCAAAATGTAAAAGAATTTACAACAAACCGCCTTTGACGTACTCAACTGGGTGGGTAAATTAGCTGCTAACAATGAGACTGTGAAAAGTTGACCTATTTAGTCTCGATTTAATGCTATTTACTGTTATTTAAGAGTTTCATGGGTGGCAAAAAACACCAAGCTATGATTTCATAAATTTTTTCATGACCCAGTATTTTTGCTTTCATGGCCTGGTACTGTTTGATAAGACACATCATTTGGAAAACGCTGTCATAGAGTATCCTGATTTTTGGTTCTATTGAGCAGCTTTTCCCAAAAATTGGTCCATAGACTGGTTCCAGTCAGTTGGACTTACACTTTACATTGCCGGTCCACTCAACATGAACATTTGTTAACAAAAATGAAAATATACAAATAAAAAAATACGCCTTGTCATAATTATTTCAGTGCAGAAATCTTTGTACCGCATGATGCAAGACTCCCTCATTGTTTTGACAGAAAACTATAGCAGCAATTCAGTACTTGCTTGGTTTATATTTCACAGATATCTCTTTTTTTTCAACTAAGGCACTCCAGGGATTCTTGTGTCTTTAAATTTAAAAAGATTATCGAAAGTGCAAGAGATTCCTGGATATTATTTTGCTGCTCCTGTCATCTTTCCTGTAGTCAACAGCTCTATCCTTGACCCTGTAGTCAACAGCTCTATCCTTGACCCTGTAGGAGTTGTCTTTGGTTCCATCCCACTTAGTTAGGTCTGTGCTGTAAGAATCTTTGTCACCATACAACCCAGTGAATGTGTTGAGCATCAGAGCAGAGTAAGACGTTTTCTGTCTTAGGTTTTCTTTGCCATTGAGGCAGTCATGGAATGTCACATGCTTCTTAGCCGCATCTGGAGTACTGTGTCCACTGGAAAACATGGTTTGTGTTCCAGTGAGTTCTGAAACAGTGAAAGGCTTAAGGAATATTTTGTGTTAACTTTAGACTCGTCCATACAATTACAATAGCTAACGCCGATTTTATTAATCCTGAGAATTTGGAGCATCTTGTCATTGCGTAGAATTTATTACCAGTATATATGTTTGAGTCTTTATTATTGAGGTCAGGTTTTTACCTTCACCACTTAATCATAACATATGGGGAATATAATAGTTTTACCAGGTACCAAGAATATAAAATTACAATGGTTTGGGGTTTTCTTAATTCATTTGTAATTATTACTATTACTGAATATCAAATAATTTATTTTCGCTTATTGATCAAATCATTTGTTTTTAAAATTATAAATCAAATTATCATGAGTCTGTCTCTTTAAGTTATATATAATAAATGTATACTGGTGTCACAGCTGGTGTACAATTTTTCAAATGGCTTCTTTAACCCTAAGTATTTGTTGATCATTGTCAAAATGATAGCTTGTCAAAACTGGTGACCTTAAAAATATCCTTATAATATAATCTATGCCTCCCTCCTCTCTTCATATCAGATGTATGCTGCTATTGAATTGAACATTTCCATTAACAAAATTTCAATAGTAAATTACCTAGCTTTATCTCTGCACTAAGGTATTTAGCATTCACTACACCACAACATACAGACAGTATATATATTATATCAGACCTGTTTACTCTTACGATTTTGGCGTACAATGTACGATTCTAAGGTGTATACATGTTTATACTGTAGGTTTATTATTTTACAACTAAGATAATGTTTTAAACGATTTTGTGATGATATTGTACGATTTGAAGAGTTTGAGGGTAAACAGGTCTGTTATATGTGTGCTATCATTAGTTTTAGTGCTTTATTGTAAAGTTAAGTCTGTTAAGTTACACATTTATCATTGAATATTTCATCCACTCAGTAGATTATGCAAGACCACAAACATAAAAATGAAATAAAATATGGAATGCCAGGAAAATAAAGCCTAAGCAGGTTAAAGGTCATTATTAAAAGCATTAATACCAAATAATTCTTAACTTCTCTAATCATATTTACATATACTATATTATTATTATAATTGTAAAATTAATATTCTATGTATCATATGTGGACAGTGTGAGAGGAATAAAAACAAATCCATATATTGGTAGGGGCACTGTATTTTTCAGTGTATAAGCTGCTACTGGTTATAACTATACGCAGCACCCTAAAAGTTTGGTGCTATTTTTAAAACTTTTTTGCTACATTCAGTCAAGAAGGGAGGCAGTGCCCCTAGTTTAAAGACTTACATATTCTTGGAACCATTCAACATATATATATTTTGTAATCTCATTAAAATTGGCACAAAAATGAAGCAATTGCATAGTGCAAAGATTGCATAGCATTTAGTGAATATTGCTAAATTTATCTACGTGCACATTTGCTCTTATTCTAAACTTTTCAATTTTCAAGAGTTAGTGTGAAATTAGTAAGAAAATTAAACAAGCAACAAAAAGAGACAGTAGGAATGTGAACAATTTAATACATTTATTTCAAAATAAGTATACCAGGGAACAAAACAATACCCTGTATGTAAAAGAAAACAAAAAGTATTGGTGATGAGATTTACATCCTCTGGCAGTTATTTTCTGTCAAATATAAAAATAGAACTAGAAATATTTAAATAGAAATATTGAAATACCCGTACAAATAGATAGAAATGTTTTTAAACAAGCTGTAGTTTATTTCTAAATACATTGTGAAATAGCTTTTAAAAAAGCAGTAGTTTATTAGCATTACTTCGATTATGAGAAGCACTGGAATGGGAAAGTTAGTTTTAATACGCAGTACTTGTCAATTTTATGTTCATGAACACATCAATACACACATAATTATTTCATCATGAGATAACATCAAAATATAAGCTTGAGTGGAAGCAAAAGCTGAACAGTATATAGCAAATAATGCAAACAACAAAGCCTAAAGCTGCAACTAAAAAGCAAGTTAGCGAATATATTGATTATTCCCACAAGTCATTAACATCAAAGCAACAAAACATAGAAGCTGAGTTGGCATATCAATAGACTTTTTTTATGTAGTTTATAATAATGCCACATTGTGTCTATTGCCTCAAGCCTTCAAACCCCTAGTGCATAATTTCCTCATCACCACCAGTAACAGAAACATTGCAAATCCCATCTACATGCATAGGAGCCAAAATGATCAATAAATTGATCGTGGGCCCTTAAGATATAGAAGAAGACTTTAAAAAAAAAAAAGAAATGGTATGGAGAATTTCACAATTACTATTCTAATAAACTAAAGCTACCAGTATAAAAAATATCACAGAAAACTAGGATTGGAATGTGCCCGGTAATTTGAAAGACTATTTCAATAAGTCATTAACTTATGGTAGGTCTGAGTTAATATTGTGGTATCTTGAAGTATTTCGCCATTTAACAATTTAACTTAATGGCTTACAAAGTTGTAACAGTTAACACCTACAGACTTTGAATATATTAGATTTTAAATTCAACAAATGCTATGTCATTCTTCATTTTGGTAGCTAAACCTTTGGAGGTTGGCATTGGGCAAACTTTCCCAACAGGACATGCCCTTTCAAGGTAGCTTGGAAAGGGGGTTGCACACATAGCAGGGTGGGAAGAAGGAACCACTCGTCGCCTACCTGGACATGGAGAGAGTGATGGAGTTCTTGGCGTTGGTCCACATGCGGCACTGTCACTACGGTGGCGGTATTCTTCCATCAACTCCCTGGCTCTAGATAAGTAAAGTCAAATTATTGGTGAGAAAAAGAACCTTTGCTTCTAATCGTTCTAAAACCTGCCACTGGGCAAACAGACACAGAAAATATAGACAGCAAATTTTTCAAGGAGATTTTCTTGAAAATTAATTTATCGACACACTTCAAAGGAATTCCTTGAGCAACTATGATTTTGATTTGTTCAGACCCAAATCTAGTAATATTCTTATAAGGTAAGGGATTTAAGAGATGCTCAAGCTCATTTCTAAACACAAAGTGATTGGGGGATGTAAAATATATGGGTTATGAAGATATTTTTCAAATCTTAAATATATTGATTGTTGAAAAATAACAACAAAGATGGACATCTTAGACCTAACTATCACTGGTCTACTGTTATAAATCAATGCATTTCATCTCTCTACCCGCAAGATTGAGATATATGTAGCTAAATATTATACTTATATTCTCAAACCTCACCAAAATATAAATACATCTCAGCCATATGAAGTTAAAAGGAAGTTAGAAAAAGAAAATACCATGTCAAAATTCAATTCCACTAATTCCCAACCCATGGCCCTATGTACTGAGAACATGTGCCCTATTCTGTCTAAACAAGGCCCTTTATAAACTTTAAAATATAGCACTTAATGTATTAGTAGTTGATTCAGTGTCCTAAATCTAAGAATTTTAAAAATTATTTTCCTTAAAATATAAGAATACTGGTAGTATGTTATTACAAAGAATGAGCAGTCCTCAGATATTTTGTCATTAGTTTTAGAATTTTCTCACAAGAGGGAAAAATCTCCATCATACATAAGATATAAAGTGCTATGATACGAGAAGTTTTTCACAACTAATTTTTGCTTTCGTGTCATAAAAATTTTTAAAATTGTCTATTAACCGTTACCTCCTCAGTTTTTCTTCAGCTGCCTTTTCCCTGAGAGCTAGACTTCGTTCTCTACCTGTAAAATTTCACATAATTATAGGATATGAAAAAAATACACAATTTTTCTATGTGAGTAAGCTAGCATGTGGTTTCATTATAAGTTAAACTGCCCCTGTCTTATTTTAAATAATTATCACACACAGTCGGCATGGCATGGAGCATAAGCATACAGATCCGGTAAATAATCCCGACCCCTATCGCATAATCTAGGCAAAACCTAGACACTTAACCAGACTTGTTAATATCTGTTGCAGAATACACGACTGCAAAGACAAAGTGACCACAGAGTTTATTCAGAGCACCAGTCACATAATTTTGGAAATGACCCTCTTTTTTGCAGAAAAAAAATCCCAGTCATCAATCAGTTAATCGCTAAAGAACATGCAGCATACATACAGGTTAACACATGGTAAAATAAAGCATCACAAGTGTGTATCTATACTGTAAGATAAGTGTCCCTCAAATCCATGGATATCGTGGACCTGAACTCATGGGACTCACTATTGGAGCACAATCTTCTGTGAGTAATGGTAGCTCTCACGCCCAAAGAAAGGGCATAACAAGCAAAAGTAGACCCCCCCCCTCACCCCTAATCCTTCTTTGACCCAAGAACCTGTGTGTCCTACATGCTTGCAAGCTTTCCAGGCACAAATAGGACTGTCAAGCCACCTCCGCACTTGCTGTCAAATATTGCGTTGGTCCTCTTCACATACTAATATACATTGTAGGAATATATTGTACTCTGTGCACTAACTTCTTTAACTTTAATGCAACCTTTCTGTGGGAGAGTTCAGTGATCCAAAAAATCAGTTTATCACAAAGAACCTCAGGAAACAATTTGGGAAAACCTCCGAGAAAACACCTTGGGTGATACCAGTACTTCAGAATCTCAACACTCTGTATCTCTTTCAAGAACTAAGTTGTTTTTTTTTATTGCCAGTACATTTTTTCATGTTTTAAAAAATAATAAGTTTGCAATATCAATACATATTTTGTTATATTTGTTGGACTGATTTTCAAACATATAAAACTATTAAAATAACCTTCTGGGTGAAACAAAGAAGAACTGAAGAACTTTAAATCTACCATTTTCATAAATGTGCTTAAGGCAGATTCACTTACTTTCCAACTCCTTCTCCTTAAGCTCCAATAGCCTCATCTTGGCCAGCAAATCTTCTTTTTTTATCCTGGTTGCATCCCCAGATCCACTCATTAGAGATTTTTCAGGTATGGCTGCTACCGCTTTGTTGAAATTTTTCTGATTTAGAATTTTCATTTTGCTCTGGATTAAGGCATCTGCCAAGACTGATCCGATGCTCGGACGCTTAGCGACCTGGCAGTAGAAGAATGTTGTTACTAAAAATTCTAATGAAACTATGCAAAGTATTTTTTTTAAAGATTGATCAGACATTTCTGTGATTCACAAACAAGATTTTTTAAACTTAAACTTAAAAGCAGATAATTCTATAATCAACAAGATATCTTTAAAGAAATTGAAATCAGATGAGAGGCCACAAAGTTATCTCCATTGTACGAAGGATCGCATGTATGGCATTTTCTTAGTACCAGGTGCAGTAAAAGTCTACAAGTGTCAACAATTTAAAATCTTTTTGCTTCCTTTCAAGATATTTTTTTAAATTGCTGACCGCCTTACCTCCACTTGTATCAACTTTCGTATCATCATATCAAGCTCCATAGAGTACTGGGGCGGCAGACGAGGAAAGTCTCCTATCCTAATCTTCCTGTTGAGTTCACTCTGGTTTGAGGCAGTGAACGGTGGGGTCAAAGCACAGAGTTCATAGAGCATGCACCCCAAAGCCCAGATGTCACTCTTCTCATTGTAAGACATGTTGTTGACAAGTTCCTAACAATGAATAAATATTCAATAGATTGGCTATATTACATTGTTTGAAACAATGCTTGTTGTCATTGTAAATGTGACATTGGGCTAATATTATAACCTTTGAGATGCAGATGGGGATGCCATTTCCTGCCTCTTCCCTAGATAAGGACCATCATTTTTTACATAATATCCTTACAGACCCATCTTGCACTACAGACCCACCCTACCCTAGAGATCCACCTAGCCCAACAGACCCACCCTGCTCTATATCCCCACCCGGCTCTACAGACCCACAGATCCACCATGCCCTACAGACCCACGCTGCCCTACAGATACACCATGCCCTACAGAAATACCCTGCCCTATATACCCACCCAGCTCTACAGACCCACCGGGCCTTACTGACCCACCCAGCCCTAATGACCGATCAGGCCCTACAGAACTCTCACCATCGTCACCCCACCTTCTAACTTCTAAAACAAACTTTTTACCCCTTGCACTCCAACTTCAACTGTTCCCCATCGAATCCTCCATTATTCTCAGCCCTCTCCACCCTCTCTTACAGGAGGCATGTAATAAGACTTACAGAAGACATGTAAGAAGACTTACAGGAGACATGTAAGAAGACTTACAGAAGACATGTAAGAAGATTTACAGGAGACATGTAATAAGACTTACAGAAGACATGTAAGAAGACTTACAGGAGACATGTAATAAGGTGTTCCAACATAAGTCTGAGCAAAGCTTGTTTCATGATGTAGCACACGAGCTAGACCAAAATCTCCCAGTTTGACATTGGAATCCATGTCCAGGAATACATTAGCGGGTTTGAGATCTCGGTGTAGAACAGCTTTGCCATTTTTTCTGCGGTGACATTCTTTCAAGGCCAGTGTTGTCTGAATAAGTATTTTCCAAGCAAAATCTTCTGGGACGTGCGTTCTACATTGAGAGTAAAATAAAAAAACTTGAATTATTTTAGGATGTTTTTACTCATTGCTGTTAAAATCAAACATTTGTTGATACATCTTATACTAATATTATAAAAGTTAATAAAAGCAATTAATTTACAGAGTCAACAGTTACCCTATATATTCAAGTTAAAAAAATAAAATCTCACCCATCTTTACGATGACGAGCAATAATGGAGGCCAGATCCCCACCCTGGCAATACTCCATGATGATATAAATGATAGTTTTGTTACGGTCAATGATACGGTCATGGTATCTGACTATATGTTGGTGACGTAGTTCTCGTAGGAGATTGACCTCAGATACCAACATCTGCTTCTCATTTTCTGACATTGATCCATACTCCATTTCTTTCCACACCATGATCTGAAAGGTAAGGAATCATCTGAAAGGTAAGGCATGATTTAAAATTTAAGGAATCATCTGAAAGGTAAGGAACCATCTGAAAGGTAAGAAACCATCTGAAAGGTAAGGAATCATATGAAAGGTATGGCATGATTTGAAAGGTAAGGAATCATACGAAAGGTAAGGAACCATCTGAAAGGTAAAGAATCATATGAAAGGTATGGCATGATTTGAAAGGTAAGGAATCATATGAAAGGTAAGGAATTATCTAAAAGGTAAGGCATGATATGAAATTTAAGGAATCATCTGAAAGGTAAGGAACCATCTGAAAGGTAAGGAATCATCTAAAAGGTAAGGAATCATATGCAAGGTAAGCCGTGATCTAAAAGGTAAGGAATCATCTGATTCCCAAGGCATGATCTGATAGTTAAGTCAAGATCTGATAGATGAGGCATGATCTGAAGGAATTGTATGATATGATAGGCAAGGCATGATCTGAAAGGTAAGAAATAATATAAAAGCAGAGGCATGATCTGAGAGGCAAGGCATGGTAGGCCTATAATAGACATGGCATAATCTAAAAGATAAGAAATAATGTAAAAGCAGAGGCATGATCTGATAGGAAGACATAATATGAGAATTACCCTTACAGGAGCTAGCTATTAAACACTCATCTTAAATTTCAAATTCCTTTCTACAGGTTTTTCATTTAATTAAAACTATCAATATTCAGCTTTGCTCTTTCTAAATCATGTCAAATCATTTCAATTACATTATTAAAGTCTTAACAGATCTTACTCAGGCCGTATAAGTAAAGGTTAAAGTCAACGGTTAACCCTATGGAAATTTATAATGGAAAAATGTGAAATTGTTTGTTTCAATGAACAAAACAACATTTTAACTGATTAAATTTGTGAATAAAACACATTTACATTACTGATATTTGTTTTATTCAGTTATAGTTTATAGGTCAAGGGTTAAAGATCTGAGAGTGGTACATTTCATGCACTCTTCTAAGCAATATAGACAGTATTAACAATATTCCCCTTGACCCTTGTTGCAGTTAATTCTACATCTTTCAGGTTTTTATTGTCTTTACCTGATGAGTTATCTTGAAGGGGAGAAACTTCATTCACTTTGTTAATTTTTGCTGACCATGTGGTCCTCTCATTGTTATAAATAGTAATACATTCTTAATTGCATTGCAAAAAATATTAAAGTATCTAATTTTACATACTTTCCCATCCTTTTTTCTGCGAATTTTCTTGCATGTTCCATAAGAACCTGTTCCAATGGTTGCAATGACCTCATAATCATCAAGTGTGGCTGCCATTCTAGATCCGTAGATGCATTATTATAAACTACATAAAAATTTTTTTTAAAATTATATTAAAAATGTTGATCAAAACTAAATTAATTTTAAATAATATTAATTAATAAAAAATTGCAGATTATCATTCTTAGAGACAGAGAGCTACATTGTGATCTGGTGGGAACACTTAAGTTTTTTAAATATTAAATAAATTATTTCTCGTTTTATATTGTCTGCTGCAGAAGGCATTAGGAAGAAACTTCTTTTAATGATTATGTCTTTTTTCAAAACTAAACATATCTTGTTCCACTATTTATTTACTTCACACAGCTTTATGCAGTCCCCCTTATATTATCCTAGTCCTAACCAATGTTTCATTAAGTTACCTATGAGTAGTAAGAGAAAACTGACATAAAGATCATTGATGGTTAAATTGAGAGCACCGAGTTTTTCTGAAGACTAAATCCCCTACCCCACACCCTCTTGTATTTGCCTCTATGTCAATAAATTTGTGATATGAATTTGAGTTTCCCTATCTTATGTCCATGTGTTATTTTGAAATATTTTACTCACTATTAATTATACTGCAGAATATTAGTAACTTACATTTTATGAAAAGCTAGGACCAAATTGTCTTCACACCTAGTACAGTTTGAAGATTCAGCTTTTTTTATCTTCTGCCAAGCCTTCAAACAGTTCTGGTAAGGTCCCTGATCATTCTTTACAAATGAATCTTTTAATTCATTGTCATGTTCCAACTGATAACTATTAGTGAATATTCAATATCAATATTTATTTAATATCTTAAGTTGCTGAGTAAGGTGGTGACTGATATTTTCCACATTTATATTATAAGTTGGAAATTCTTTGTTATTTTTAGAAAACACGTCCATCTTTCAATTTTTTAAAAATAGTGTTCTATAAATACAATGCTCAAGACCATCGCAGTAATAGTAGGCTCCTGACGATAAGTTTTAAATAAAATATTGCCAGTTATAATTAACAAATAACTTAATTTTAGACCTAATAGCAAGTAACTTAGTAATAGGGGCTGAGCCTCCTGGATGAAGTGTAGTCATTAGGGGCCATCCATAAATGACGTCACACAAATTTTTACTATTTTTGCCCCCCCCCCCCCTTGTCACAAAAGTTAGACAACCCCCCCTCATTAGGGGCCATCCATAAATGCCGTCCCAAAAATTTTTACTATTTTTGCCCCCCCCCCCCTTGTCACAAAAGTTAGACAACCCCCCCTCAAATAAAATGTCACAAATCTCTGCACCCCCCTCCCCAATAAATTCCCAGTGTCCACTGCTGTCCTTGACAAAACCTTAAAAAATTCACCTCCCATGTATATCAAATTACTGCACCTGACCTGTATCAAAAACATTTCACTAGAACAGTGTTGCTTAACCAGGAGTAGAAATACCTTCCCACAGGGACGTTATTTTGGGTAGGGCAGGGTGGGGCATTCCCCCCTCCCCCCCAATTTGCAGGTTTTATTTAAATAGCTACGTACCTGTGGCAGTAATAAACAACTTAACAAGCCAACCAAGTTTTGGTTTTCCCCCCCCCCCCCCTTTCCCAAAAAAAAAAAAAAACAACCTGAAATGACGCCCCTGCCTTCCCTGGGGTGCGGAAGACCATAAAATTGTATTTGCTGCCATTGCTAGTTGTGGATTTTTAAAAAAAAATCAGTTTTGATGCAGTTTGATTCATGTTCTTTCTGGTGAATTTAGTTAGCACATACTTGTGTTGGTAATTTTTTTTCCAAAGTTAATTAAAGAAAGAAAACTATGATAACTAAATTATTTAATTATTTTCATATTTTAAGTATTATTACAATATAATTTATACAGTGGGGGGGAGAGTGTTTGAAACGGAGTGTGCCTGCAGCGCTGCAAAAAGGTTAAGAATGCCTGCCCTAAAGCATTTACTAAGATCCCCACCCCCGGGTCAACCATTTTTTTTCATACCATCCCACTTCACATGGTAGCCCTATTTATATGACTTCCGACTCCACATTTCGACATAAATTCTCTTGACTGTCAAAGTCACTACGCCCCGATTCTCCTCATCCGTAGCGGCCTGTAAGTTGATCAGAGGCCATTTTTCGGACCTCGCATACCTAAACTGATTCTTTCAGTGAAGATAGTTTAAAAATAAAATAACTATAATAATTGTATAAAAGAATAACATTTAAAATATCTGTGATTTCGGGCTATTAAGTGCAAATCTTTAATATAATATTCCACTTTTCATGTGTCGCCACAGCTCAAGCCCCCACCCCACATCACACATGAACACAAACATTTTACTATTGTTACCCCCCCCCCCCAGAAGCATGATGTCATTTAGGGATGGCCCCATATTAGTATTGGTCATAAGTCACAGAGCAGTATTATTTACTTGGCCTATTATTTATTAAATTCAAATTGTAGTTCTGAATTGCAGTAGGCCTACTAAGTAGTAGTAGTCTTACATAAGTAGTACTAGTAAGTAGGCCTACACTACACCTGCATGTCATGAGTCATAACTCATACTTATATATATTATATAGTGTACTTCTTATACTTATACTTATACAGCAGTTGTAATTTTGGCTAATTTAATTATTTGTTTAAAAATAGTAAAAAGGTTAAATTATAGTGAGTGAAACCTAGTACTACAAATAAAATAATAGGCTAACTAATAGGCCCTATTTACTATTACTAGAATGTTTAAAATTGTTACTAGCGAAGAAACTTTTAGAAAGCCATTATTTTCGGAAAGATAACTCGTTTAAGTTTGAAAAGCGTCTTTAGTAACCGAAAAGTTCAACAAGTCAAAACCTGCATTATGAATGTTTATCAAAATATTTTATGTTCGTATTATTGCCCCTGCTATAGATGGTTGACATGCCTGTTTCAAATTTTACCTTTGTATCAGTTTTTTTATTTTATTTTGGTCCCTTATTTTTAATTGTTTAATACCGAAAACAATATTTTATTGGAAATGATTATCTTTTCGTCTAAGCCATGTTGCCATCTTTAAAATTTCCCCCAAGTTAGCAACTATACTTTTCATTGGATTTCGTGCCAATACATAACACTCGTTCATACAATCGCTTGGATTGGTTAAAAATTAGGAAGAGGAGTTGGGGCACGTGATATGTAAAATGGCGATCTCCATGTTTACAATCATCAAAAATGGAATTTTACATAAATCAGACCATGTTAGATCGGATGTTGAAGATAACACACATTTAATTATTTAAGTAAAAATACCGAAATGGAAACCAAAAGCACATTAGAAAAAGTGCTAAAGCACCATACAGATACTGAATGGCGGAGCAAAATTGATGATTTGTTCAAATTTTTCTGTAATCATGTTTTTCTTGGTCAATGGGAGTTAGCCAGGACAGCAATTCCTACTTTGCTGAAAGAATTTGACAAAGATGAAAGGAATACCACTTTTATAGACATTCTAAAGGCTGTAATAGACTATCCATTTTCACAAAGGTATAATTAGAGAATGGTTGTATTTAATTTATAAAACCAACAATTTTGTTAATCCAAGGCCAAGTTTTAAATTTAATGATTAATTAATTTAATTAATCTAATTAATGGTTACATGCAAGGCAAATGCCTTCATCATTACATTAAATTAGCATAATAAATTAAATGAAAGGAGAGAAAATATCAGAGTAAGAATGGACACAAGTCTCGGCGTAATGAAAACAAAGATCAGAAGAAGGGAAAGAAAATGGATGGAAGTAAATTCAAAAACCAAACAGACGTTATAATTGCAGCTTTTTAAAATTTGTTATTTAGTTAATACCATATGGAGACAATGTACCAAATCTTTTTATTTATTTATTTTTCATATACATTTTTTCAGGTCTTATAATTAGTATTTATAAGTACATAATTTATTAATATATAGACTACTTACCCCTTCCCTTAATTCTTAGGCCTATTGAAAATGAATCATGAAGGTTAAATAAGTTACATAAGTTAAAGCAGAGTATTGTATAGGCGAAGGTCTACAGCCCCAAAAGTATGATTATGAATAATTTAATTATTCAATTTGTAAGATTACTTAGAGGTATGATGTCATTGATGTTATTGGGACTAGGTATTCGTGTCATAAAATGATCATAATGTACATGGCCATAGGTTACTCTTAGTCCATCTCATGAGCACCACTTAAAGGGGTGTGCAAGTTATCTTGTATTAAGCTTAAATTCTATACACTGTGCTTACTCTTCTGTACTTGTGTGTGTGTGTGTATAATATATATATATATGTACCTAATAAATCTTAGTTATATAAAAAATAGGTTTAAAAAGCAAGAATGGGTGCAATGTTAGTTCTTGCAGTGGATGCATATGTCCTCAGAATGTCTCTATACACTAGGCCAGGTTGTAAGTTACCTTAAGCTTGTTTTAGTTTTTCATGGTCAGTGGTTACCATTAGCATAGCTCACATTGTCATAGGTTACCCTAAGCTTGTTAGGTGAGAGTCTTCACTCAATCACCTGCTTTATTTAGTTAAGGTCAAAAGGTGTACATCCATTTTGACACTTCTAATGTTAGAATTCTTCCATTACTAGAATTCTTCCAACATTACACTTGCTCCAATAACACACTACTTTCTGTATTGCATGACTTTCTGTATTTTAAAAAGCTACAAAACGTTTGTTTACTCTTTTATAAAAGCTTAGGGTCACCGTCACTGAAGTCGGCACATCATTTATCATGGCTTTGTCTACATGAGCTTAGACTTGTTGAGCAGGATGTGATTTCAGACAAGGTACTTACTTCAATAAGTCAAGATTGTAACGAGAGGAATGTTTAGTTTAAGCAGAAACTATCCATGTATTAAACCTGTATCTATTCATCTAAATACTTAAGTATGTAAAACTATATAAATTTCAGTCTCATATATTACATTTTTAATAAATTTTACTTACTATCATCACCAAATACACTATTAAACTCAAATTTGTCAGAAACTTTCATAATAAATACACCAATGTTTTGTCATATATGAAATTCTTTGCCAAATGATTGTTCACTATAAAAAGCAATATGTAGGTCATGTTTTGAATTATGTTCACTAAAGAAAAATAGAGTTTTAACATTGAATTGCTGATGTGTGTGTTTGTGCTAACAAGTGTGTATTTTTCTTTTATAATATTTTGTTGTCTAATAATACCAATAGCCATTAGACTGCAGCACTCTAAAGAAAACAGGGGTGTGTTAGTACATTTTTTTTGGTGCAAAATATTTGTTCTTTTCTAGGTAAAATGGTTTGACCAAATGACTAAAGATATAGATTTCCGTCTAACACTTACCTGCCTTAAGGAGGCTGACAAAACCGTTATACAGGTATATTTTGGCAAGTTATCTGGACATGCATAATTTGTAAATATCACTTTAGCTACAAATAATAAAAATCAGCTAAAGCTTTTAATTATTTTAGCTATAAAATATCAATTATTAGCACATTTTAGCGTGAACTATAAAAACAATTAAGAAACTGTCAAAGCAAAACGCTTAGCACAATAATTTCAAAGTAAGTTGTATAAATTTCTATTATAAACGCTGTGTTGGCTAAATATATTCATCAAGTAGAAGCAGAATAAAATACAACAAATTTATTAACATTTAGTCATATATTACAGCCCTTGATAAATATGTTTTGCTTACTGCCGATGCATGGCATTGTAGTCTTACTAGAATTTTTGTTAATTTATTCTAGGAGTTGTACACTTTCTTCAAGAA